CAGCTCCACCTCCACCCCCCTCTATCCTAGACTTGAACCAACAGGAAAACCTTATTTAGAATGTTACCAAGACCCCAGCCTACAGAAGAAAGTGCCTGAAAGACTAAGGTGAGGGTGAGAACAAGCCAGCCTGCCTCTGGAATGCCCAAAGGAACTCTGCTTTAAAAAAGACCCTAGTTGGCCCTAACCGGGTTTGGCTCAGTGGCTAGAGCTCAGCCTGCAGACTGAAGGGTCCCGGGTTCAATTCCAGTTAAGAGCACATGCCCGGGTTGCGGGCTCTATCCCCAATCGGGGGCGTGCAGGAGGCAGCCAATCAATGAATGAATCTCTCTCATCATTGATGTTTCTATCTCTCTCTCCTTCTCCCTTCCTCTCTGAAATCAATAAAAATATATTTAAATAAATAAAAATAAATAAATAAAAAAGACCCTAGGGGAGCCCGGCAGGAGTGGCTCAGTGGTTTAGCATCAACCTATGAACCAGGAAGTCACAGTTCGATTTCCAGTCAGGGCACATGCCCGGGTTGTGGGCTCCATCCCCAGTGTGGGGTGTGTGGGAGGCAGCCGATCAATGATTCTTTCTCATCATTGAGGTTTCTCTCTCTCTTTCCCAAATCAATAAAAATAAAAAATAAAGAACAAAGACCCTAGGGGAAAACAAGGAGGACAGGAACCAGTCGCCCAGTTGACAAAGCCCAGTCCCTGCACACAGTGCCATGTGGCACACCCATGGCCAAGGTCCACTGCCAGGCCCTCCCTGGGACCTTCGGAGCCCAAGCCTGCTTGCCCTTCCCGCTGGCAGACCTGGGGGGAGAGGGCACATCTCGGGGACAACTCTGCCTTTGCAGGCCACCTGCGGGGACCCCAAGGGAGGCTTCTCCCAACAGCTCATCTGGCTCCTCCTCACTTGGCCCAGCTTCCTGCATTCCAGGTGCCCAGGCTGTCCGCCCTCTGACCTGAGGCCCCGTTCCTCTGCAGCCTTCTCTCTAAGGCAGGAGACCCATGCCAGTCCCTGGAGCTCCTTTCCCTGTAGGATCCAGCCTGTGGCCCTGCCTGAGGCTCAGCCTGATCCCGGACGATCAGCTTGGAGCCCTCCCTTCTCTGAGTCTCAGTTTGCCCACAGGGAGGTGAGAGCAGCTCAGGGTGAGCCTTCCATCCCAGTCCCAGCTCCTGGCTCTACTCCCTTCATTCCTTAGGACCCCCGAGCGGACACGTTTTCTCTTTTTTTGGCCTTTGGTGGGGAATGGAACTTTTCAAAAACAGTCTGTCTCCCCTCAAATCCTGTCCTAAAACCCCATAAAGCTGTATGTTCCTCAGCTCCCCCCTGCCCTAACCACGGGTCAGAGACGGTCAGAGGTGACTGAGAGGAGCAGAGCCAGGACAGGCGGGCAAGGTGCCACTGCACTTCCTCAGTCCCAGAGGCATCCTGACTGCATCTTCCAGGTCACCTTCAGAGCTGGAACAGACACCCTTCACTGATATTATCGGAGTGAGGCGGAGACTTACTATACACCAGGAAAACGCCGTTCCTTCCCACGAAGAGGCTCATCCCTAGCAAACACAGGACCTGCCTCCCAGGCCAGGAGTGTGTTTATGTAACAGCCAGCACCCAGGTCAGCTGGGCCCTGGCTCGGGGCTCAGTCAGGCTCGGAGTGAGCAGGGAGCCCCCGGGAAGCTGTTCCCCTCCCTCCGCCAAAAAAGAAGGTGGGGACACTGCTTTGCAGGATAGCAGCAATATGGTTTGGCAGATGGAGTGAGGAAGGATATAGGGCAGAAATTGGAGGAGTTTTCTGGGTTTTTTTGATGCCTGCCTATAGCAGGAAAGCTGGGGAGATAGAAGTGGGAAAGCAGCGGTGAGGTGGGTAATAAAAACGGGTTCCAGGAAAGAGTTTGGGGAAAAAAGGGGGAGAAAGAAAGAGGTGGGAGGCCTTGCCAAGAAAGAACAGGGAAGCAGGGATCAGGAGAGCTGAGAACGGATGTGTGAGGAGCAGCTGGGCCTGGTGACAATGAGACATCAGGTCCCAGGATTCACAGGGGTAATACCAAGCTCCCAGGCTAAGCAGGAACATGGGGTACTTCCAAACCACAGTGGGGAAGTTGGTCACGGGGGAGCGCTCTAAGACGGGAATCTGCCTGTTGTGAAGAATTTACGACTGGGTGAAAACCCAAGTGCGTAAGGCAATCGCGGCCTTCGCATCACCCAGAGACTTCCTGAGCTGGGGGGTGGGGGTTAATCGCTGACAAAGGAAGCGGAGTTAGCTGTGGAAGCCGAGATTCCTGCCTCTCCGGCTCTGGGAAAGGCTCTGTGACAGATGTCTCCCCTCACCCCTTCTGTGGCTGTCCCTCCAAGTCTCTTCACCAAAAGGGATGGGGGTGGGAGCTGACTTCTCTTACTTCCTCCAAAGGACACTGAAGCTGCAGGGAATGGCTGCTCTCCCTGCCCCACCTCCTTCAGCTCCAGGAGGAAAAACTGGTCATCGCCGCCTCTCTTTGGGGCCCCGGGATCACACAATGCCACCTCCAGGTCCCCAGCCACAGCACTGATTCAGGCCATTTACTCGGATCCATGCTAATGAGTTTTTTTTCTGTCACCTAATTAGTTCACAATGAACTCAGCCTTGAGAGAAAAGAGGCTAGAGAGGGCTGGGGAACTGACAGAAAGCAGTCAGACTGGGATGTCACCCCAAAGGGCAGGACCCCAGCTCTAATGGGTCCTTGACTCCCAAAAGACCCCATGCTCCTTCCCCAGCTACAGGGAGCTCTGGAAGCAGAAAGGGGGTGTTCAGATGAGGAGCCCCCCGGGGCCTCACACAAAGAGGTGAAAATGGGAGTGCGCCCCAACTGCAAGGCTCAAGTTGTGGCCAGGCCCCTGTGCACAATTCCATGTCATCAGCAAAAGGCCTTGCCCTCTCCCTGCGTTTCCACTAAGGCCCAACCCACCACCTGCTGGTGGGCGTTCCCCTTGGAATGGAACCTGAGGAGGAAGCAGATGCCCCAGGGTGAGGCCATCTGCCCACTGGGCACTCAAAGGTCACCATGCCACAGGAGGGCCTGCGGGTGGAGCCAGCCCCCAGGACACCAGGGGTCGAGGGGCATCTACCAGCAGCTTACACCATCTCTCCTGCCCCTGGGAAAGGAGTGCTGGGCAGTGTGTGTG